TTTGGGGGGGCTCCACTTATTGCAAGAGGAGGGGGTTGATTTCCCTACAGGTTTGATAATTGGCAGAGAGGTGAAGTGACTTTTTCGGGGTCTCTTCAGTGGTTCAGCAGGACAATCAGGAGCAGAACTGCTGATGCTCTGTCTCCTGGCTCTGATCCATGTGCTCCCTGCCTTCCCTTTGCTCTTACAGTTTTTAAAACCATTAGAAGTGCATATGGCAAGTGGGAAGCCTAAAAACCTGGGCTTTAAAGCCATAGATCTGCTGCAGCTGGCTCAGAGTGTTGGAGAAAAAGAAGTGGTTTAAAAGAAACTCAATTAAGATAGACTAGATGGGTAAATTATGTGGAAAATTCACCTAAATTCAAAAGCAGAATGAAGTTTTCAGTTCAGAGCTGCTGATGTTCACAGCCATCCATTGTAACTCTGCATTAGTCCAACACAGAAAAATGTGACAGGGTCCCAAGGGATGTTTCAAGCACCTGAATGAAACATGATTTGGAATCTACTGAATTTTCTTTACAATGCATGTAAGATACAACATGTTTGCAACCTCTTTACCTAAAGAAGCAAAATATTTGAAGAAACTTTGCTTTCTTTAGCTGGTATTGATCTGATTTTCGTGTGCTCACCATGAGCTGCCTAAACTAGAATGGTAAATGTTGGGTTGCAGTTTACTGTCAATAGTTTTGGGTTAAACAAGTGGCACTGATTAAATTTAGGGTTTCTGGCCAATTAAAGAAGGATGTATTTTGAATTATTCATTAACTTTATTTCACACTGAGGCCATGTGTGTTATTTAGGTTATTTTTCCCCTGAAACTTCTAACAATGGTAATTATTTAAAGGATAAAAGTAGTCTCTGGGAGAAGAATTTGCTGTAGAAAGTTTTATATTCCTCTTGTGGAAAGGAGAATAATTTAAATAGTGCAAGGGAGTATAAATGGCAGCAAGAAAGGAGAAAATAAGGAGAGAATTATGGCTGAACAGCTGGAGAAAAATCCTTGGCATCGAGGGCTATCACTCTGGAATAAGCTCCCCAGGGAAGTAGAGGAAGTCATTGGGGAATTTTAAATCTAATCCAATCTTAATCTAAAAATAGCAGTGCCATATATCACAGTGAAGGACCCTGTGCTAGCAGAGGATAGATTAAATTTTATAATCCTTGAATTTTTGTGTGCCAAGATGTGTTATCTGTGGCCTCTTCTTTATGGGTGTCCTTAAGATTTTTAAGGAAAACGAAAGTAAAAGGTGGGTTTTGGACAGAGGAGATGGAAGTCAAAGCCTACATGAGAAAAATATTTCTCATAATTCTCAGCCAGCTGGGTGTGACTCCTTTTTGCAGCCCAGTGCCAGGTGGGAAGAGAGAAAACCTATTGACAGAATGTGCTGAAAGTCCATGAATATATTTGTTTTCCCTAAAAAAAAAAAAAAAAATTGGAAAGGAAAGAAAATGCTCAGAAAATTTGATATTTTTGATATTGCTCTAGGGAAACCTGAAAAAATATAACCCCCTTCCCGTTGCCTTTTGTACAAATAATCCATTTTAATCCTTTTTTTTTTTTCTTTTTTCTTTTTTTTTGAAAGATATTTTCTAAAACTATAAAAAGTAAGGAATGAGGGGAGGGGGAAAGGCTTGGACATGATCTGCAAACACTCTCCTGGTGGACAGTCTGGCCAGCAGGGTTGTTTTCTAGAACCTGCCTGTTTTCCTGCATTGCTTCTCCTCTCAGAGGGAGCCCACACCTGGAGAAGCCCCTTTCCATGCCTCAGGAATGACCAGGAATGCTGGGGTAGGTGCTGGTTTTCGGTTTGGGATCGATGGACGTGCCTGGCCCTGGAATAGGGAGGGAGATGCTGGTAAGACTGGGCAGCACTGGGGCCTCTGGAGACAACAATCTACACCCTCCAGGTAAAGTCCTGGCTGAGGAATATTCGGGATTGGCCTGGCCTTACCTAAGCCATGGTTTATAAGTTGCTATCTGAAGATTGGGAAGATCTTTGTGGCTTAGGGAGGCTGATTTAGGGGAGCTGTTGCCTCCACTGGAAATATCCTTAGCCCTGTTCCTCTAGCTCAGACTCCCTTCATTTTGCCTGATTTTAGACTCTGAGAGTCTGTGCTGAGGAGCTGGCTGCGTGGGGCAGCACCTGCTCAGATCATGGCAGGAGAGGCAAACCACGGATTTCTGAGCAGGGATAACAATTCCTCTTCCACGGGAGAGAGCAGAGGCCGTGGCTGCCTTGACAAGCTGAGCCCAGGCAGCCACCCAGAAACCCTTAGGGCTGGCTTTCTTCCTTACTATTTATTTCTCCTCTTAAAAATGTTGGATTTTATATTCTTTTTGTCCCCAAAAAGCCTTTTGATTGATAGCAATTAAAAGTACCAGGAGTGCTCTGGCTGAGGGCTGCTCTGATGGCTATTTACAGATAGAGAGACGGGTGCAGAGAGATGATAAATCAGGAATAAGAGAGGCAGCACCAAGAAGCCACGTTGAATCCCTGATTCTCTGTGATTTTTTTCATTCCTGCCAGCACATTTCACCCTCACTCTGTGCCAGTGTAAATGAGGCTGCAAGGTGGGAGGGAGGTTGGTGGAGAGCAAGGCCTCTGATCTACAAGGGTGAGGGTGTTCAGACGGGGAGCAGATGATGACAGTTAATGGAATTAAAGCAAAGATTAAATTAAAACATCGAGAAAAAAACCCCCTCAATAATGATAAGATTAACTGCAGTACAACCTCCTACAGGAAGCAGCAAAAGGCAGAGCGTTTTAATCATTAAAAACAGGGCTAAACATAGTTTTGGGGTAACATATTGCAGCACTGGGATAAATGAGTAGAAGCTGGTGGCTTAGCCATGGTTCTAGTATTCCTGGGATGTTGTAGGATTCTAAGGAGGGCATTGGGTTAATGCATCAGCCATCAAGTCCACTCTACAGACAAGCAGCAGTGCTACCAAAGCAGGTTGTCAGCTCCTATGTGTAAGTCAGCATGGAGGACTGTTAATTATCTATACATGTGTGTGTGTGTGTGGTTATTTCTATGTGGATGTGTATGTGGCTATAAATATTACATCAGGATAGGCTGGGGCAAGTGTTAAAGAAAAAAGGTCATCCCTTTGCTGAATCAGCCTCAGACGTGCTTTGAGTTGTTCTTTTGACTCTGGTGTTGGTGAAATCCCTGCTCAGAACAGGACCCTGGTTGTCTTTCCTTGTTCCTTACAAGCTGCTGGGGAGGGGGGTGGGTCACTGAAGAGGTTTGTGCATGACCACAGGAATCAAAGGAGTGGGAAGGCAGGTGATGATGTTCCTCACTCTGCCCTTCCTGGGTCATGCCCGTAAAAGGGGATCCCCCTGGAAATGGGAGGAAAAAAATTGCTCATATGGGGGGGACAAAACCAGTTACGTTTCAGGTCCGTGTGTTCCCTCACAATAAATAATTCCTGGGAGGATCTCAGGGGGTAGGACTGGCCACAGCTTGGTCAGCAGTGGGAGCTGCTTGGCAGTACCACCCAGTGTTCTCCAGTTTTTGGTTGATTTAGTAGTACAGGATTAGACTTTTCCCAAACTGAGTGCCGGGCTGTGAAAAGAAAATGCTGTCTGTGCCAGATGTTATCAGATGTTTTCCACGCTCCAGTACTGCTCCCCCTTCTCAAGCAGATCCTGTGCTGGGCCTGGAGAACTAAAATTGCTCGTCTAGTCTATCCCCAAAATCAATGCAACCCAGAAGCCACTGATGAGACAACTGGAGCCCTAAGACTGTGAAAAAGCCAAATACCTCTCTGTCCATGCAAGATATTTGGCTCTGGGGTTAATTATTATCAAGTATAAATCCAGACATTATTTGGCTACTATTTACAATGGGTTGTACGTCCAGTGCTAGCAAAGGAATTTCTACATAGAAACCAAAAATTAAAAAGCATGGGCATACATTACAAGAAACCTCTGTTAGACTTATGAATGCTTGATGCAGTTGAGTTCAGTGCTTCCATTCTTTGCCATTTGTGTGTACAGTATTAAAAAAGAATCCTACCTTTTTTTTTTTTTTTATCCTTTTTAAAAATACAGAACCGTAGTCTAGTCACACTCTTACAAGTAAGTGATAACAAAAATAGAAAGCAGATACCCATGTGGGACTAAAACTCTACTAAAGCCTGTCTTTTTTTTTTGTTTGTTTGTTTTCTTTTTTTTTTGTTGTTTCTTTTGTTGTTTAGTTTTTCTCCACAAATATGTTTTCACAGACAATAATTAGCAGACAAACACACTGTTTGCAATTGCACTGTATTGACTTAAAAGGCGGGTACAAAATTGTCTAAATAAAATGCCATCCAAGGTGAGAGAGGGGTGTGTGTGGGGGTGTGTGTGTGCTGATACATGCTTGTGTTTCCCTATCATGGGAACGTGCTCTGCCCTTTGGAATTCAGTGTTTTCCTGCTGCACACTCAACACACACACACACACACAGAGGGATGGAGAGAGATCTCTGTGACAGGTGGCTTCTTTTGCCTAAATCTTTTCCTATAAAAGAAAAAAAAAAAAAAACCACGAGAAATGTGAAATTTTGGTCGGTTTAAAGGTTCTGCTCCATGAAAAAGAAACAAACGAACGAGGAGAAAAAAAAAAAAAAAAAAGAGAATAATAATTCACAAAATCCATTGTTTTTCACCTTTTCAGTCATTTCCTCATGAATAAATATTATCCATTTAAAAACCTTTAAAAAGGTGCTGCGATACACAGTGTTATATTTCCGTTTGCTTTATTGACTCTCTCGTTGCCACGACGGTTCTTTTCCCCTCCAGCGCCTCCTCCACAGGTTGGTTTGTTGTTTGTTTGTTTGTTTGTTTTTAATTGCCCCGTTTTACAGCGGCACAACACGCTCTCCAGGCGGGTTGGTGTTTTGTTTTGTTTTTTTGTTTTTTTTTTTTTTTACCTCCGACCACCCTCTTTCCTCTCCTTCCTCAGTCCCCTGTCCGAAGGGAGCTGCCTCCGCGGGATCTCCGCCGGGAATCCGCTGACACAACGTCGGGGTCGGTCCATCCAGGCACAAGTTGCAGCAAGAAAGGAGCGTGGAGGGGTGTGGAGGGAAGAGGGGGCCACTGGCTCTTCCAGCCTCCTCCTGAGACCGTCTTACAAGGCAGAGACCTTGACGATGTTGGCCGTGGTGGTGGTGGTGGTGGTGGGAATGTTCGTGGAGTGCCCGGGGCTGCCGGGGGTGGGTCTGCTCTCGCCCTCGGGGGTGAGGGCGGGCGGGGTGGGGATGCTGATGATGGCTGTGGTGATCTGGGCAGCTTTGCAGTTCGGTCTCAGCCCGTCGTCTGACTTCATGTTGAGGCTGGAACGACTAGAAAACAAATTTAGTGCTTGACTTGGTTTGTTTGTTTGTGGTTTTGTTTTTGTTTTTGTTTTTTTTTTCGGCACGAGATTGCTGCGAAGGGGTGAAACATCCTGAAATATTCAGAAGACTCTGCCGAAAAGGTCCCTCCCCACCCCGCTCCTGCAAGAAATCGTTTGTGTCTGCCCGGATGACACTACGCTTTGGTAATGTTGCCCTTGGTTAGCAAACAGCTTTCCACGGGGCAAATTGTTCTGTTTCCATTTCTTTCTTGCACAATTGTAGTTTATTTAGGAGGACATCTAAACACACTGCCCCGTGTACCGCATCTTTTCAGAGCACAGGTAGTTCTTTCTGAGGAAGATGTTGTCTTCCTTGCATTTCAAATACCTCTTTCAAATTCACTGTCCCTTGATTTTTTCTATTTTTTTTTTTTTTCCCCTCCTCTCTCTGCAGTAGGATCTGGCAGCTGGGAGCATTCTTATTAGATCTGCATCAATTGCATCCTATAATTAATTACAGCAGGAAAATGATAGGTTGGTTTCTGTGCATCTGCACAGCCACAGGAGTCTGCTATTACCAGCCCAACACGTTCATTTTAAACACAAGGTCTGTCCTTTCCAAGTGCAAAGCTCCCAGTTGGAAAGCTCTGGCTGTTGTTATCTCAGACTGACTCACCCAGGGGACGGGTTTTTGATCTCTCAAGGATCCCAAGAACAGCAGGACCCATTCTGCCCCCTCAATGCCTCGGGCACAAGCTGAGAGTGGGGCAGTTTTAGGGCCTGGGTGGTTGTGCCAGTGGTAACCAGTACCCCCAGTTAGTCGCATTCCACGTGAAAAACAACTTAAAAGCTTTTTTTCGCCCCCCCCTCTCTCTCTCTCTCTCTCTCCATTCTTCCACAGTTTGGTAAGCAAGTGAAATAAGTGTTGACATTTAAAAATATCACAGGCATCTGATTTAGCACCCACTGAAATAGGCAGAATAGTTGACATTCCACGAAATTACTGCTTCAGGTGCTGGTTTAAAATATTGTCATACTGCAAGTGAAATAGCTGGAGACTTGTTTTGTGCTTATTCATTCATAATTCATGCTCTGAAATGCCCTTCTGGCACAAAATAATCGCTTGCTGCCCTCAAGGCAGCTTTGTTTCAGTTTCTACATCCCTTTGATAGAAGTGGGGAGAAGAAGAATGGGAAGTTCAAAACCAGCCCTGGTGCACAAGAAACTTAATGGGCTGAGGGGGATTTAGAAAGTAATTTAATGTTTGCAAGAACGTTACGGTGAATAAATGGTTTTTTCCCAGCAAGTTATGCATAGAATGGAATTTGCAAAGTTTTCCATTCAGGGACAATTCACCTGTGTCATTTATGGCTTTTTAGGTGGGGGCTACTAAGACAGCACTGTGAAATTCCTCCTTATTTGTTTCCCAGTGATGCTTAGAGTTGCAATTTAGACTGTTGGACAATGAAAATCAGTGGAGTGAGTGTCCCTGGGGGGCCACGTCAGTGTGTGCAGCTCCCTGACAGCGTTTGCTGACAGGCACTATTAGCCCATTGTTTTTGCCTGCTCCCAGCAAAGGTTTGGAAGTGCTGGGCCATCTGGGAGGTGGTCCTGGGGCAGCCATGAGAACTTCCTGGGCAGGTGTCACTTGGAATTCACACTTCTACATCCAATCTGGCCAGAGAAGGATCACAGAACATCCTGAGCTGGAAAGGACCCACAAGGACTGAGTCCAACTCCTGACCCTGCAAAGGACTAAAATCCCACCCGGTCCCTGGGAGTGTTGTCCAAACGCTCCTGGAGCTCTGGCAGCCTTGGGGCTGTGCCCACTGCCCTGGGGAGCCTGTTCAGTGCCAACCACCCTCTGGGGGAAGAACTTTCTCCTAACATCCAGCCCAAGAGCTGCACTATAGTCTGGCTTGGACCTGGTTCTTCCAGGAGCAGCTTGGAGCCATTTATCACTAGAAGGGGGGGGGAACCGAAAACTCCCCCAGCACCACCCCCCTCTCCCCGGCTGGAGAAGAGCCCTGCAGGTGGATAATGATAGAGGTAGATAAAGAAGGTAAAGGTGGATAATGCCCCTGAGAGGCTGGTACCATACCTGGTTGTGAGGGAGGGCTGCTCGCTGCACTGGATGTGGATGGTGCTGAGCTCCTGCATGCTCCGCAGGCGCGTGGCCGGGACGCTGGAGTTGGGAAGGTGAGTGGTCTTCTTGTTGCGGCGGGAGCAGCAGGAGGTGGTCAGGCCGTGGTGGCTGGACAGGGAGGGGCTCCGGGAGGAAGGGTAGTTCTGCATCGAGCTCTCCATGCAGTTCTGCTCGAACATCTGTTCATCTATGAACTCGTGGTTCTGGCAGGGGGGGGGAGGAAACGGAGTTATCACCCTCTGGTGGCACCGACAGCTTTGGCCCAACAGCACTTTGTGTGCAACGGCAGCTTTGGCTGGGCTGGTGGGGGAGTGTCAGCCCCTGGGCTCTCTGCCCCTGTGCCTGGAAGTATCTGCACTGGGCAGGTCTTTGAAAGGTTCTAAAATGAGCTTTAAAAAGATCTTAAAATGATTCTGCCCTCACTGCAACCACGAGGAGATTTGGCTCTCCTGTGTCTGTAGGGGAACAAGAGGAGCTGTTGCAGTGAGAAAAGCACAGGATTATGTCAGTGCTGCCTTGCTTACACAGTCTGAGGTGGTTAACCTCTTGTGGTTGAATTTCCTCCCAGTTTTGTGTCTGGATTCCAGAAGTGCCTTCAAAAATCCTGGAATGACACATGGAGGAGTTCATGCCCCTTTTTTTTATGTTTGGGACAGGACAGTGTTTTATTTGGATGCCCACTTGGACATAAAATCTAATTTCAGGATGTGTCTTGCATTGGCTGTTGGGTTCAAAGCATCCCTGCAGTGCCTTGGATGGATGGAATAAACATGGCAGGTGAGAGTGGGAAGTGTGTAGGGAAAGGAAATTCAGAAAGCTGAATCTAGAAAGAGCTATTTTGCTAAGGAACAAGAAATCCTGGAAGAAAGAACTCGTGTGTGTCTGTGTGTACACGAACACCCAGTTAGTTCTAGAGAACAGACTTTATCCAGTCCCTAAAAAGGATGGGAAACAAAAGCAACCATGCTGAAGGCAGCCATCAGATTCCATCAGAACAACTAACAACTCTCACAGGAAACAAGAGCACTGGAGAACCAAGGGGAGCCACGTGCACAAACTCCCAAGTACAAGACCAAGAACGAGAAAACCAGCAAACACTGTCGAGACAATGTCACAGAGACCATAGAGAAAACAGATCGAATTAAAAAGGAAATACCTTGATGGTGGAAGCTCGTACAGATAACAGGGGATCATCCACAAGATAGGACAATCCCTATGGGACAACATGCCAACAAAAGATAAAAACACAATTGATTGTCCATTCCAGCATTCAGAAGTTTACTCCCAGCACTGCATCTCTTGCCTCAGCATTCCAGCTCACTCCAGTTTGAATGGGCAACAGGACCTTCTCTGCACCAAACCTTGCCTGAATCAGACCCCTTTGCTCCTTCCTTCTCCAGCTTTTGAGTGTTGTGTTCTTGGAAACAGAACAAAACCCATCACAACGTTATTGCTTTGATCTTTCGAGAGCTGAAGGTGAAGGAAAACAAACTTTCAGCTGCTGATTCACGAGCCAAGAACTGGAATTGCTTTGCCAGTGGGTGTGGGGTTTGATCACACTCTGTGAAAACACAGGAGAAAGGTTTGGGCTGGAGGACTGGATTCGAGGCACTTGGAGAAAACATGGCCTGTGAATGTCCATGGAGTTGGAATGAGAGGAACAACCTCCTTTTGTCTGAACAAACTCCATCTGTTGTGTTAATATGACAAAGTAATCTCTGTTGTGGCAGCTACAAGTACTCCAGGGTCACTTTGTCACCTGACACAGCAGATTTGTGAGCCATTCACAGCCATTCAGCTGTAAGTGTGTGCTGGTGACAACCCAGACACAGTGTCAATAAATAATGTACTTTGAGAGTCCTCTCTGGTTTAAGGAAAGGTGAATTGCCCATTGAAACGAGTTTGCAACCACGGTACATTCCTCATTCCATTCCTGCGACCTGGTCACAAAATGACTCTTCAGGGTTTCAAAATGCTTTTACTACCATTTTAATTTCGGGAAGGAAAACTGTTGCACAGTGTTTTAACAGATTTTTGTGAGCTACAGAATTTCCACACAAACCCATTGAGCTGTTTGGATTGATAATTCCAGGCCAGAATCCAAACTTGCTGTGTGATTTGGTGCTGCATCATGGTAATAACTGGCTGAAAAATGCAGGGGGAAAACGCATTAAACGTCGTGCAGATTCTCTCTCTGGGTTTTAATCAAAATCCGAGCATGGCTGTTATTGCCATTCTCTGCTGAAAAGAGCGACATTTGGAATATTTTCAGGGCCTGGGACTCACTGTCTGAGCAGGTTTGTGTGCTGGAGGCAACCAAACCTTTGTTAGGCTCATCCAGACAGGTACTAGGGTACAAATTACCCTGCATCCCCAAATTAGGGTCTGCTTTGGCCACGGAGCTTCCAGCGCTCACCGGCTCATTAATAACAGAGCAGCTCCTGCAGAGCCCAGAGAGGTTCACCTGCCCTGTGCAGAGGTCAGAATTTCTAAAAGCCTTTATAAAATCGGGCCTTGCAAGGGCAGACCCCGCAGGCAGGGCTGTCAGCTCCTGTTTGCCTCACCCAGTTTTGCTCAAAGTTCTCAGATGGAAGTGGTTTTGTTGTTTTTTTTTTTTTTTTTTGTGGAACACGGGTCGTGGTCGTGAAGGTTTCAGGCAGAAAGTTCCAAACTGAAGAGTCAGGCTGTGAAATATCTGCTGGTTTATGTAACATCCAAAAACTGGTCGAAATAAAGGCACAATGAGTTCTTATAAAACAAACTCAACAGTCATTGGTACAGGAAGAATCAGTTCACTGTCCTTGGTGACCTTTAGAGCTCTTTGGGCTCAGAGATCACTATAATTAATCAGCACCCTTCTTCCAGTGTATCTCTGAGGCCTAAGTGGTGTTATTCCAGCACAAACCAAACTATGGAAGTGAAGGTGATTTATCTAAAAGAAAGCTCTGGCAAGTCAGAAACCAAAAGTACATTTGATGATGGATGCAGATAGAAAAAGGCATGAATATTTCAAGTGTTAACCTCGCTTCATTCTCTCTAGAATGAATCATGGTATAGATAATGTGTTCCCTTACTGCAGAACCTTTTACATCAACCTGGAAGCAAAACATATGTATCAAATAAACATCTGAAACGTTCCCAGAGACTTCTGCATACACAATCACTTAATAATAAAAAAACAAAGCTCTCACTGCCAACACCTTGCACGATGCAAACAGAAAAGTCATGCTGTAGAAACTGTTTGGCTGGCTTTGAGATAAATTACCTTGCCCTTGTAACCAGACTGAAATGAGAAAAGATATGTGCAACCTTTAAACCCATTAATAGAGTTCATCTGCTCTGAGCCATCTCATGGGCTAAAGGTTATTTTCTTTCCAGCCTGTTGGCATGGGTGACCAGCTCGTGGTTCGGAGTCACCACCAGCATCTTCTTCCTCTTTAAGGCAGCAGAACTGTCCTTAATTGCTAATTGGCACAAATGATGGGTGGATATGATGTGTGACTGACAGTACAGGACAAATGCAGTTTAGTTCTCTTTCAGAAACACTGAAGAAAATTAAACTCCTTGTTTCTGGGATCTCCCTAATTCTGTGCTGAAAACTTATTTTTGCCTTCAGGTGGCCTTGACTGAGCAACCTGCTGCTGACTTTATACAGGTGGAGGTGACTGGGGAGCAGCAGATAACCTCACCTTCATCCCTTTGCACAGGGATTGGTTTTATTATTTTAAGAAGACAATGAAATAGAAGTGCTTTTAACCCACTGCACGACATCAGGAGCTTTAGTACCAGCCCCTCTGGCACGGGTGGGGATGTGCTGGGTGTGTCTGAGCAAGAGCCACCTCAGAGCATTCCGTGGGCACACCTTGGCCACGGGGAGCCCGTGCCAGACCTGGGCGCTGTGGAAGGATCGTGTTGGTACTTACGGTTGTTTTTTCCAGGCAGTGCAGCAGATGGTGGTGTTGGCTTTCGATTAAGGAGGTGCCTTTAGTCATGTGCTGTTCCTCTTCGGTGGATCCCTGAACAGCCACAAAAAGAAAGGGGTGGGGAACAAAACCCAAACCAGGTGTAAAACCAGGAAAACAAACAGAAATACAAGTTGCAGCATGAGCTTTCACGGGGGTAAAGATAACGCTTCCAGTGTTGCCAGCTCCCAGGTTTTCCTCCTGGCTCTTAGGAGGTTTTCTCTTTTCTCCTGAATGATTTTTGGGTTGTAAACTGAGGTGAGGGGCTCGGCTTGGATTCCAAACCTGTGTGTTTCCAGGTGTTCCATAGCTGGGGAGGAGATGTGGGAAGGACTGCTGACACATGATGTCAAGGCTCAGGAGCCAGAACAGTAAAGAGAAAAAGGACCTGTGCTGTTGTATTTTTCCAAAATGCATTAAGCTTGACGTGACCTTTGAATGCCAGCAGACGTGCCCTGAACCCTGGGCTGTGTTGGGAGACAAAGCACAACCTGTCCTGCCTTCTCTGAGCTTAAACCTGGCTCTGCCTGACCTTCAGGGCTGTGCAGTGCTGGGCCCCTTGGAACTTGGGTGTGTTATTTGCCAAACCCTCCTGAGTCACAGCTGGAGCAGAAAATGTGAACCTGAGGGGCTCGATCTGCTGGAAACCTCTGAAATAGAGGTGGATGAGAGGTTGGGAGCCCGAGTTCAGCAGTGTTTGGCTCACACAGAAAGCTTTGTCTCCAGCACTCATCAAAACAGCAATAGCCCAATAGCACATCCAATAACTTGGATGTGAGAGGAGAAAGCCAGGGCTCTGTAGTTTTGGTTTCTGCCCTGTATCAGTGAACCAGATGCTTATATTTCTCAAACATATTACTTCCCCTGTGATCTGATGGTCAGATACACCTCAGAAATGAAAGGAAAAGCAGCAATTGGGGTTGTCCTGAGAGTGTCTGTGCTATGGGAGAGCCAGGAGTATTTTTCTCCCTTATTCTGTTGTGTGGTGGCAGATTTTTAAGGACATTCTCTTACTACTACTACTGCTACTACTTAAGTTCCTGGTCTCGAAACTCACTGTGGTTTCATCACACTTTAATCTGTGCTGTGTCTTTGAGGACTGGCATTTTCAAAGACAATGGTGTGCATTAAAATAGCTATTAGGTGTTGTAAAATGTTTTCCCCCTTTTCCACAAGTAATGGGTGCCTGGTGTTTTGTGTGATGCCTAAACCCTGAAATCAGAGAAGGATGTTCACGGCTTGAATCTCTGCCCAGACACCAACAAGCAATATCTGACTGTTCAGGGGAGGAAATGGGTGGGATGGGAGACACGGCAGAATAACTTGTCAGAAGTGCCAAAGCCTTGCCTGTTGCTCCCAGGGGGGTCAAATTCATCTCTGGTTGAAGCATTGCGGTTAAACACACCCCTGTGTCCCAGTGATTCACTGCAAATGCCTCTTCTGGATGCCATTTCCAGGCTGGTGCTGTGATCCTTAAGTGAAGGAATAACTCTGTCTCTGACAGATGCCAAAACACAGCTGAAGTGGTACATTAAGGAAGCTGACTTACTGTACACAGAATTAATAGATTCCTGGGGGAATGCATCTTAGGCAGGTTATGGATTTTTTTTTTTTTTTTTAGTTGCTGTTGTTTTGGAAGATGAGCATTCCCAGAAGTATTTTTAGAAGTGGCCCGAAAGGAAAAAAAAAAAGATCAGTTCCATTTTTCTTATTAGCAATCCTCCTGGTGAGGTAACACACCCAGCAGGCCCTGTTGGTACCTGCTGAGATCACTGACTCCACTGGAGTCTGGGTTGGAATATTTCCCATGGAGCTCCTTGGCAGCCCTACAGCAGATAGGATGCTGCACTAAAACACTGGAAAAGGAAAGAGCAGATATTGCAAAACAGTATCTTTTTTTTTATGAGGATTTGCTTGGGAGGAAATCTAAATGGGGGATCTGAGAGCAAAGATAGAGCTTTGATACCTCTGGCAGGAGACTTGAGCCAATTGTTGAATGTTACAGCTCAGCCTCTCCCTGTGCCTTCCATCCCAAGGCTGGGATGGAAGAGCAGTGACCAGGAATAAGGTGGAATATCAGGGATTGTACCTTATCTTCCTTTTGGATATTTTTTTTTTTTCTCAGTCAGCTCAAACAAAGAGCAGGCAACCGCTGAGCCCATCTGAAGTGGAAATTAGGCATGAGGTCTGCTGGAAGTCCTGCCCTAGGACAGTGCCAGTGCCAGCATCACACAAACTGGGCATTTTGACAGCACTGCTGAGGAAAGTGGAACCTACAGAGGTTGCATTAGTGGTACTGCAGGCAAACAAAATCTGTGTCTTCATTAGAAGAGGCTGGCTGTAATGGAGAGGCTGGTGGGGGGGAGGAGAGGGGATGGTTTGCTTTTGGAGCTGGGATGCCAGTTTTGCAGGGACCTGATGCCAGCTGCCATTCAGCTTGTTCTTGGAAGACATTCAGTGAACTGCTGGTTGCCTGGAGGGGAGGCTGAAGCACACTGAAATCCAAAATACTTCCACTTTACCTCTCTTTTAAGGGCTCCATCACACAGAATTGGGCCCTGGTGAACCCAGATGAGCTGGTTCAGGGGTTGGGCTGTCCCTGCCCACGGGAGAAGCTACAAGGCTTATCTGTGGCTAAGCAGGTCCTGCTTGTGAAAAGGCACAAGACCTCCCAACCTCCTGTTCCTGGGATATACAGCTCCCAGCATTTCAGCTACAAGGGAATTTCAGCTGGCTGTACAAGGAGATTAGTGCTAAGAGGATATGTAGGCTCTGCCATGGGAAGGAGCTCACCCATCCCTTGAGCACTTTTGACATAAAGCCCACAAGGAAAAAAAAAAATAAAAATCTCTAAATGAGAAGAAAACAGTCTGAGCACTTCGTGTCTCGATGGCAAATGCCACAAATCCACATGTTTGTGAAGCAAGAGCCTGTATTCTTGCTGGGAGCAGATCTCCTTCCTGCTGCTGTCCTTGGATGAATCCTTTCCTTCCCTCTTTCTTGACTTTGATGCGAGGCCACAGGCTGAAGACGTGCTGTTCCCTCGGAAGATGGTGTCAGTGTGTTCATTCTGGTGCTAATGAAAGGACATTCTGGCACATGTTCTGGAATCCTGAACAGTCCTTATTTTCCAATTTATTAGTTTGACTGCAGAGCCACAGCCAGGCTGCTTTGTGGGGGCAGTTGTTTTGTGACCCCTCCAAGCGTCGGAGTGCCAGGCAACGAGCTGGGCCCTTGTAAAACAATAACACACGTGGGATTGCTGCTGATGGAAGTGATAATATCTGGTCATGGCCACGGAGTAATTGCAGTTGGAATTGCTGCTGGGTGACAAACCAGCCCTAAGGCAATCTGGCCATGTGCAGCCCATTACTGTGAGCAAGAATCCTGGGCAAGGTGTCAAAATGGGATGTGCACCTGACCACTGAAGCAGTTTGATCCTAATTTGACTGACAAATATGCACAGTATGTAGATAATATTTTGGTGCCTAAATATAGTAACTGCAGGAGTCACATTCCTTCATATTTTTTACAGCTTAAAAAATTTGGCTGTCTAGACTATGCTGTCATTCACATTTTGTACCCTTCAGAATAGTTTGTTCTCCTGCCATAAAATGAGAGGACATGAAATCCTGCCTCGTGGAGTTAAAATGGTCATGTAAAGAGAGGATGTTCTGCAGTTCTGTAATTAATTAATGCCACTACCTGGGGATGGAGAGACGTTTTGGCTTTGGATTCAGGTATGTGGCTGGTCCTCAGGTAGTCAGAGACCATTTCCTGGTGGTTGTGCAGGTGCCAGGCATGGCTTTGGCAAGTTTCTTGTTTTAAAAAATTAATTAAAATCTAGAAATTTAGTGCATTAAAAAAAAATATAATCCCACACATCACAGGTGGATGGTAATTCTTTGACTATTTCAACAGGGAGTTCCTTCAGGTGGGGATATTTTCTTGCAGAGTTAATACAAATACACACTGTATTTAGTGCTTTTCAGAGTGGGATTTGAGGTTCTTGCTGGGCTGTGGGGGGGAAATCATGTGAGCATTTCAACCTTCCATCTAGTGGAAGATTCCCTGCCCAATGCTGGGCATTGGAACCAGATCATCTTGAAGGTCCCCTCCAACCCAAACCACCCCATGACTCTGGTTTAGAGCTATAAACCCACCCAGAAAGCAACTTGCACCCAGAAAACCCTGCAAAAAAAAAAAAAAAACTGCTCTAGGTGTTACTGAATATCTATATTTAATCTTTAAGGGGTTAAAAAAATATCCTCTAGAACCTCTTTAGGAATGTTTTGGTTTTGTTCCTGTGTCTACAGTAGCTCTGTAGCCAACAAAGAACGATCCCTTTCCCGCTGATTTTTGGGCAGGTGCCAAGAAATGAACCCTTTCAGCCAAATATTTCTCTCAACCTCCTGCCTTTTGGACTTAAGCGCTGGTGCGTCAGCTGCTCTTCCCTGAGTGGTCTTGGCAGGGAGTTTTGGTTGACAAGAGAAGTGAGGAGATTCTTGTGGGGATGACAGGCTGGAAGATCAAGTGCAAGCTGAGTGTCCCTGCTCAGTTCTCCCGGCGTTTTTCAAAAACCCCAGAAATCGAAAGCTTGAAAGGAAGTTTTAAATTTTTGAGTCGAGTTTTTTTGCCCGTTTCTGGTAATGAAAAAGCAGAATCCCAGCAGAGTTGGTTTCCCTGAGCCTTCCCTGGCTGGGAATAAGGTTCTGGAATAGGTGTTCACCAGTCTGCCTGGTCTTTACTTGATAAAGAAACTTCTCTTGAGCTGCTCAGCAGCGACATATGGTTCAAGAAACAGATTTTTTCGGGTATTTCTGCCATTCACAGAGCAGGAGACAACGTTGGATGTGCAGCCAGAAGGATCAAACTTGTTTTGGAGGGGAGAACAGCAACTGATCTGGGCACCCCACCTTCCAAATCTGTGCTTCGTGTGAAGTGCTTTTGTGGAGTCACTTGAAAAACGATTCCAGTTGTAAAGGGCCAGATTTCTGTGTCTGCACTGAGCACCTTCCTACGTGGAAAACAAGGTGCTGCACGACTTCCCTCCGCTGTGCCCACCAAACTGGGCTGGGAGTGGGCTCAGGGCTTTGGGGAGCAGCTTTCACCATGAACTGAAAAGGTTTGTTAGCTTTGATTTTGTGGAATCATTAAGGTTGGAAAAGAGCTCCAAGATCGAGTCTGACGTTTGACCCATCCCCACCTCGTCCCCCAGCCCAGAGCACTGAGGGCCACGTCCTGTCCTTCCTTGGGCACCTCCAGCGGTGGGGACTCCAACACCTCCCTGGGCAGCCCCTTCCAATGCCTGCCCGCCCTTCCCAGCAAGAAATTCCTGCTGATGTCCAACCTGACCCTCCCCTGGCACAGCCTGAGGCTGTTTCCTCTTGCCCTGTCCCTTGTTCCCTGGGAGCAGAGCCTGAACTCCCCCCAGCTCTCCCCTTCTGATCAGGCTGAACGCAACAACCTCTCCTTGTGCTCGCTGGTTCTGCTGAGCAACCTGACATGCCCAGAACTTCCCTCCTCCTGAACAGCCAGAGGCCTCCAGAGGCCTTTAAAAACAAACCCACCACCAAGCTGCCTCAATCAGGAGCTAGGGAATATTTTCCTGCCCTCTTGGGGACGACCAGGTAGTCTATATTGTGCTCTTAGAAAAAAAATTACTACACGTTGGAGGGGAGTGGATATTTATAGCGTGGGCAGACCCCAGGCTGGAAAAACCAGTCCAGCTCCAACAGAGGGAACTGGGCTTGTTACTGGAGAACCAGATACTTTTCTAGCCTGAGGAGGAGCCCACAGGAGCTTTTCGCTCCCATCCAGCTGGGTTCCAGCTGTGCCTCCACGCAGCGACAACGCCGTTCCGCGTCCGATGCCGCCACGATGGATAACGAGCAATTTAGCGGCCACGAGGGGGAAAAGGGAGTGAGCCCAGGGAGAGGGGTGGGAAGTGGGGAGCTTGGGGGAGTCTGTGGAAGGAGCTGGCGCGCCCACACTCACCGTGAGCTCCAGGGCTTCGTTGAGGAGGCCGTTGCGTTTGCTGTGCAGGTACGCGTTGGAGCTGCCGGTCTTGGCCACGCGGATCCGGGCGAGCCGGGCTTTCTGGGGAGGAGGGAGACAACCAAGTCAGGACCTGGGACACACTGAGTGAGTGGTACTGCCAGAACAGGACCAGGAGGAAGGAGGTGTCAGGTTCTCTCTCTTGCCTGGGGGTGAATGCAAGAGGTGGGCAGAGGGGTCGAGGTGCTGCTGGGAGCAGCACAGGTCTGCAGGAGCTGAAGCTCCAGAGGCGACAAACAAGGTGTGCAGGGTTTTGTTTTTGTTCATTGTAAATTTTTGGTGGGGAGTTGCACAGCACTGAGAGCCTTGTGTTGGGCATACCCCTGGCACAGGGGGATTTCGTGTGGTTCAGCACCGAGCACTCGTGTTGTTTTCGTGGCTCGCCTTCCCCCTAAAGTGCTTGGCTGTCTGGTCCTCTCTTCATCTTCCAGCTCTGTTCTCTCACATCTCTGTTGTCACCTCTCTGCAGCAGCACAGGGACACAGCTGGCCCTCAGTGAGGGGGGACTGTCCCCTGCATTGGCAGTATTAGTTTATTAACTTTGCTATCTCACACTATAAGGCTGCCCCAAAATACACATCTCTTACCAACTGACAGAAGTCACTCTGCAACAACACAGGCATTCAAGTCCCCTCATGTTTATTTATCCCTGACCTTCTAGATCTCCGGGGGGACAAGTTAGATGATAAAAGGCAGTCCAGAATAAAGCAAACAATAACAATGATTCCCTCTTCCTTTTTGATGATTTTTGATCATTCCTTTTAGCATTTCATTTTTTTTTTTCAGTTGCTGCCTGCTCCTCTGTCAAGTGCTGATTTGCCTTTTTCTACAGCTAATTTATGACTCAAACACCATTAAAAGTAAATACATGAAATAGCTGCGGCTATTAAAAAATAATTACATTGTGCTGTAGTTTAAAATGCTGCATAATCCCTTAAATAACATGGAGCTCGTGATTTTGCCTTCTAATTAGAGGTGCTAATGGGTAGACACTGTAGGAAGAATAAAGTATCTGCAGTGGGTCCAGGGAGCACTGTCATTCCAGGAACTCTATTCCTGTGAGTGTGTGAGTGACTCTGGCCTTCAAGAGTTGGAAGATTTGTTTAACCTCAAGACCTGCTGCTCAAACAGACAGTTTCCCAGGCAAAGACATGCACAGGGCACCAGTTTGCAGCTTTAATTGGGTGACACAGACTATGACCAGTCTGAAAAAAATAGGTTGTCTTTTGACCCCCCCTCCCCCAAAACGGGGACATCCAAAATTGACTTTATTTTCTATACTTCACCTAGATTTCACTGTCCCATTTTAATGCCGAGGCTCCTAATCAGCACCTGAGAGCAAAATCTCTGTGCTGGGGCCAAGGTCCAATCTGGTCACCCTGAGAAAGGGGCACGGGTTGTATTTGCAAGATTTAGGCTGAGAATGCAACGAGAAAGTGAAATTGGAGCTTCATTTTTTTTCTGAAAACTTTCCCAAACTGCTGTGTTGCTTTGGGCCCTGAGTAAGACTGGCCTGAGGCTGTAATCAAAAAATCCACAGGAACTCCTGCTACTGAATATGACTTAGGGGGAGAGAGCAGGGGATAAGGGACTGAAGGATATTCCATTTTTAGGTTAAGTGCCATTGCCTGTCTGTTCCTGGTAATTTAGTGGAAATGTAATTATTTCTTCTATATGCAAGTATATGCCTTTGTGTCTCTGTTCCTTACTTTTCTCAACAATCTTGAGACTGGATTTTGGATGCACTAATGATCTTTACAGGGAGGCTCTGAGGGCCACCACTAAAAATCCTCATTTTTTTTCTGTTCTTGACCAAACATTGACTCCTCTGCTGGAGGAATTGCCAGAGTGCCCCAGCTCAGCTCACCTGTAGCAGGAAAGGTTTTCTCCTCACTTCCAGTTCAGTCAATTGTTCGAGTGGATTCAGTCTCAGGCTGTTGTAATGAACATTATTCCCTTTGCCTCCAGGCTAGCAGGGGATCAAATATTAATAGCTGTACTCCATGTGGACTGAAGCTGGTTCATTTCTGAGGTCTGTTCTCTTTTTCTTTCTGAAACAGGGCCACCAGCCATCTAAATAATTAAGCCCCACAGCTTTTGTAGTTTAGAACAGACGTTGTTATTTCAAAAAATGTCAGTGGGGCAGGACAGAAGTTAATCCTATTTCTCCTTCCACAAAGGATCGTCTGGGATCGTCACATCGCCCAACTCCGCGTCCCCATCGTGATTAAATTTGGTAGATATCTTGATTAACTCAGCTAGAGAAGTTAATTAAAATTGGTGCCTAAAATTGGTTTGGCCCTCCAGACAGTTTCCTGCATTGGACTAGAAACAAGTGTAAAACAACAGTTCAGGTTTTTATGTGAAAGTCTGTGTTGAATGGGGAATTATTTGGAAAGCATCTCGTTGAAGTGCCACGAGCTTTGCGTGCTCTTTAGGCACCTGTTGCCCCTTTATGTGGGATGTGCTACTTCGATCGAGCCTGACAGTAAAAAAAAGGGTTTAAGAACCTCCAGACTCTGCCTGGTTTTACCACATGTGGGTATGTTTTTGTCCTCCCTGCCCTGCAGGGCTCGGTGCTCCTGCTCTGAGGGCAGAGATGCCAAAGTGGAGGACTCTGGTTTTCTGACTTTTTTTTTTTTTGGGGGGGGGGATGTTGGGATAGCTGCCATTTGCATCTTATCCCCCTAAATGTGACAGACTAAAGGTCATCAGGGCCAGGCCTGAGATCACTGTTACTGAATATAACCCCTGCACAGAGAGTCTAAAAAAGGAAAAGAAAGCAGCACACTGTGTCTGCATGTAGAGTGGGGAGAGGAGTTGCTAGGAAACCACAGGATCTCAAAATGCATATGACCTAATCTGGAAGATAATTTATATGATGAAAATAATAATACTAATGACAGCCACTTACAGGTTCGAATGATTAATTTGGTTATCTTGGAGCCCACGTGTTTCTGAGAGCAGGGTGGAAGGCAGGGGCTCAGTAACTTCTGGGGTTTTGTGGTTTTTGGGAAACTGGAGGCTTGGAATAAGCAGTGAAGACCCGTACAGGTGGAGGGCTGAGGTGCAGTGGGGAGGATTTCAGCACCCTGGGTATCTGCACTTCCCAAAGGGACTGGTAGAGGAGGGAAAAAATAGCCTGAGTTCATCTTTTATCTTTTGGGAGAAGTGCAAGGAGCAGGAGCTGCTGGCTGGGAAAACTGCTTACCAGATGGCAGGCTCAGGAAACAGCTAATTATTATTTATTAATGATTTTCATCTAGTTCTTATGGAGATAACGTTCACTCTTGATTTATGTGGTCTAATAAACTATTAAGCTACAGCCTATGACATAATTTTATATTTGCCAGACATCTTCAGCTTTCCAGCTCCTCAGTACTTGAGCAAGGAGTGAGTGTGTCAGGAATATGTCCTGTATCCACTTCTCCCTCTTGGGACTGGAGCTGTTGTTAAAATCAACCTTCACAGGATGGCTGAGGCTGGAAGGGACCTCTGGAAGTCATATCAGAGGTGATCTGCTCCAACTTTCCTTCTCAAACAGGGCCACCTACGCCCAGTTGCCCAGACCTGTGTCCAGGTGGCTTTTGAGTATTTCCAAAGAGGGAAACCTGAATACCTTGATAGATACGTATTGTATGTAAATATTGGTGTATATACATTTTTAATATATATTCAGATGTATGTTTATATACCTGAACATATTTATATACATCAATAAAACCCCTCTGAGCTTTCTCTTTTTTTAATCTAAACAGTCCCAGCTCCCTCAGCCTTCCCTGGTGTTAGAGGTGCCCCATCCACATCCCTCCTACATTTATCTGCTAAAACCACACTAAGAGGATTCCTGGCAGAAAAGGCAGCCACACGAGATAATTAACAGTGCTTCACATGCTGATTCCTAAACAATCAGTGGTTTGAATTTGAATAGACCTGTTGGTGGCTGCTGCAGTTTGTGTGCACCACTGGTCCTTTTGAGGCTGAAATGAAGCTGCTCTCAGAAGTAATCATAGCTCACTTTCATTCTCAAGGTGAAACATTACAGCAAGTCTTGCATTTTTCTGCATCTGTGGCTGGTTCAGGGTCTGGGCTTTAACTCTGGATGGAAAGAACGTGGTTGGTTTTAGGATGTGGAAAGGGCAACGAGCAGATTGTAGAGTTAAAGCAGGAGTTTGTGCAGGCTTAACACCAGGGCTTGGAGTACGGGATGACAAAAAAGTATCTTCTTGTAGTTGTGTTCTCACCTTCCTAAAATGAGCTTGTCTGTGGTACTTCTGACTAATTTTAGCATAAAACTCAGAGGGGAATTCAGCAGAGGCTTCAGTCTGTACTTCTGAGTGGGAATTGGGTGCCCAAATGTAACTTGGGAAGGGAATGGTTGGAACCTTCCTCAGCTGAGCTCCCCAGCCTGTTGTGGGAGCTCCTCCTTGCCAAGCTGAGCGTGGAAAACCCTTCATTTTTAAAAAATAATGGAGTGGACAAGACATTAAGCGGATCCACTGCCTGTGGAGTGCCTTCCTCAACATAATGAGGCACCACTGATCATCTGTCCTGATTATGACACCGAGAAGCTGCTTTGCCATCTCTAACAGAGCAGGTTGGAGAGGGAAATTAGGGCTGGGGGTTATTACATGTGTTTGAATGCTGAGTGGAATCATGGCTGTTTAAAAAGCAAATGGTCCATATAATAAGAACTAGCTGTTATTCTGCTTGCCATGGTCCATCTGGCTTTGGTAGTGGGCAGGCAGTGGAGGCACAGCACTGTTACACGCTCTAAAACTACATTTTTTTTCTCCTTTTAACCTTTTTTTTTTTTTTTCCCCTAAGAAACGTAGTATGCACATTTAAAATTTCCTTCCTCTCCAATCTTTACATTAAACAGCTTTTGAGGCGAGTTTAAATATTCTGTCACTTCTGCTTTGGGGGAGATGTTATAGAGCTGCATATGGAAATTAGATAGTGTAGAACTCATTATATTCCTATATAATTTGATAGAACCACTTACAGTCAGACCTTGATCTTATTTTGGGCCTCTTCATTAC